TTATTATTAATATATCGCTTTGAGATATATCATTGCTTTCGAAAAATCATTTATGAGATACGCAACCAATGCACATAAAAAAAGAGAGAAATTTATTAAAGAAATATACGTCATGCCAAATATTATGTGAGCTTTAACTTACAATGGCGATATATTCTGTGTAGTTAAATAACGTGTGAAATGTAAAATCAAATGAAATATAAGCGAAAATGCGAACTTTAATGCCATAATAATTTTTGGCAATGTATATCGACGCACGCATATATTCGCATGCTCTCATACAGTTGACATTCTGAAAAGACGATACGCTCATCGTGATGTACGTATAAGGTCGAAGAAACCTCCCACAGGAGAAAAAGGTAACCGTCGCGCTCCAAAGATTCTCTGGCCGACAGCCAAACACCCAACAACCAGAAACCCTCAGACTCAACTATATCCACTCCATCCAGAGACTTACGTACCTATCTCTGATCTTTTTCTCTTGTCTTTACGTGCGTTTCGCTCTTATCTTCGCTTCGTTTCACCTCGCCTGGGCTCATCCTCAAATTCCATTTTCTAGCTCTGCTTCTACCCCTTTTACAACCGCTCGCTAGTCCCTTTTTCAGCTGTCACTTTAACTACGCCTTGTCACTCTTGCGCTATCACTCTCGTTATCACTTTCGTTATCATTTTCGTCGTTGTCATTCCTAAATTTGCCCACATATTCGGTTGTTTCCCCTCGACTATCTTGTTCGACGTTCTTAGTCGACGTTCAGTTTTCCACCCGGTGTGTCACTCACCCATCCTTGTTAAAAGAGCCGTGTGTAGTGATTAAATAAAGAACTGACCAGTCGATCGTACACCCTCGATTACGGGGAGGAGAAGCCCTTCTCGATCCGAGAGTGCTACCCGATTTGCCAAATTGCGCGCTTTTAGGCGAGCTATTAGTCGGTACGTTCTGTCAGCGCCCCGAGCACGGATAAACTTTATCGCGATAGGATGTTCCTCGCTTACTTAATTCGGCTTATGTAATTTCCAGTCCGGCTATCATGACTGCGGTAATGTTCGCTTCTCTTTGACGACATTCTGACGGCGATGTATTTAGGTCAGCGGCGTTCTTATACGAGAATATTTCGCGCGGGCTTGTCTCTTGCGTAATTCTTGAAGATATTTTGCCCTACAGCGAATGAATCCTTGGATGTATAACGAAGTAATGATAAGAATGCAGCGTGGCAATAAAAACAACCTTAACCTTTAAATAACCTCTCGAGGGATAGTTGCGGAGCTTGCGAATCTCTGGGAAGACATCAGGTAAAACTGGAGCACATAGATAAAATCGGTATAGTTCATTGGCAAAATGCGAAAGTCACGTCATTAACCGACCGAGCGCATCAACCTAGTTGCTGCCGCGCCATTAGCAGATAATGACACTTTTTCGAACGAAGGCTGGGTCGGCCAGACTTTAGCTCCCGTAGATAGAACGCAATCGATCGTTTTCTGCCCGGTTTCTGAGCAGATTGCTCCGAAGAGAATTTTTCTAAAATCGGCCAAAACAAATGCTAATGAAGAAAGACTTTGAAAGTATCCTTGAAGCGACTGTAAAAAAAATCTCTTATTTTACTTGAGAATCTCTGCACGATAATGATCGCTCATTACTAACTTGATCGTTTCATTCGTTGAGCTCCTTCAGAAATATTTAGCATGTAAGAAATTTACGTGCTTCAAAAAAATGATGTCAAGATAATGGGAGAGAGAGATTGGCGAAATTATTTCACAATTGCTTCGATAATGCGACGTTCAATAATTAAATTTGCATTCTACTTTGCCGCATCTCTAGAATATTATTAGTAATCTCGGAAAATAATAGTTACTATTGACAGTGACGTATGCATATGCGTGTGTGCGTGTGTTAGAATTTTAAATATAATATAGTATATTTTTTATAGTATATATCTTTTTTCATTTAAGCAACAATATATATAATTATTCATTTTTTAATATAATATTTATATAATATTTATTTTCTTAAATATTTATTTTTTTTAAATTGAAACATATTAAATAATATTATTAATAATATTAATCGTACTTCTAATAAATAATATTATTAATAAATATAATTAAATGTAATTAAATAATATTATTAATAATATTAATCATACTCCTGTCAACGTTAATATGAAAAATGATATTATCAACAGTTCTATTTTCATAATAAAAAGATACTCGTGCGTATCATCCGTTGTTAGTGCGATCACAAAGGAAGAATTACTGTCTCCTTAGAAGACTCAATATGAAAATACAGTAAATCCTTACACAATAGTGGCTTGCTCTCATTTCGCTGGCATTGTCGGAGATATGTTCGCTACAGTCGCGCTTGCACAACTCGGTATGCAGCTTATTTCTTCCGAAAGTACCCCGACAGAGGCACGCGGCGTATCCCTTCGTGGGCGTTAATATTCTCGATGGGTGGTCCGGCGAGCCAGGAGCCTCGCTTTCACTGAGAGGGTAGCTACTAGAAAATATGCGAGATATCGGAGAACCCTCGATCAGTCGCACCCACCTTCTCCGTGTTATCACCATGGCTACCGGATGAAACAAACGGTAGCCGGGATGGCTGCTAAGCCTCGGCAGCTTGGCAACCAGTCTCTCGCTCTGCGAGAATGAACCCGTCGCTTTGTGCTACCAGCTGTCAGGACTCTCTGGTCGACAGGTTTCCGTACCTACCTACCTACCTACCTATCTACTCCACTGTACGCGCGCGGTTCAACGGAATCGAGTCATTCGCATCTGACACGCGCCAATTTATGCTCAGAATTACAAAGGAAACGTTACCGTCCTATATGTTGCGAGCGAGCCTTTGAGCTTGCGACTAGCGAATGGCACGGTAGTGCCGATGACACGACGATTCCGATCCCGTTCCATAGATTTCGCAGCATGCCCGGTCTAAGGTCGGATCGTTTATGATTGACGGGGCTTTATGCGAAAACGCATTTCCTTTCTCGTACGTATGCTGTCAAACGAATTGCCGCACGTCATCTTCATGCGCTTTGTTCCATTACCATTATAGCTGCGATACTACGTTAAACGATTGAAGAAATTACAAAAACATAGCAATTTATTATATATCGATAAAGAGATTCAAATAATGCAATATTTCACTGTAAATATATAAACGCAGAAATCGGCATAAAAAATCCATTAATAATGAGTAATGAATATATTCGAAAGTTATACTCGGACATTCATTGTATAAATAGTTAAGATTTTCAGAGCGTAGACAGTGACAAATTGCTGCAGAAATAAGAGGGCGAAAGCGGTAGTTAAAAGAACCTTATGGGTTAAAACCGATGTAGTGTCGGTATATCAAAGTAAACGAACGAACAACTATCCTTGTTTTCTTATATTTCGTTACCGCTTCCTCTAGATTCCGCTCGCTAAGTCCCGTTCAGCCTCGTTATTGATTCAACAGCCAATTTTCGCGTTGTGTGAAAGTCTTCCCGTTCGGTGTAGGAGAAGCATTTATTTCACATTACAGTCACTCGAGAATTCGATACTGTTTCTATTAAAAAAAAAAAAAGATATACTCAATTGATTATTTTTTAATGCAGAAAAATCTTTTTAAAAAATATTTTTGTACATCAAAAATTAATTACATACAATAAGCATATATCATGTAATAAGCAATAAGAGCCGCGGGAAAACTTATCGCCGATGATGTTTGTGGAAAAAAAATATTGAGCGTAATGTGGAATCATTCGATAAAGAGATTTAGCGATCTTGTGTCGGCGACTGAACATCAGACGACTACTCACGATCGATAGCAAAACGTCACTGACGGTTACATTAGTCATGAGCGCATTAACTATACAGATAAAAGGAAGGCAGCTCGCGACGACCCATCAACTAGAATATGCATGACGTTACGAACCGACAGATCGGGGACCACGCACGGCGAACGAAGGCTAAATCGAATAGCAACGTCAGCCTGCCATCAGGTAGAAAAGAAAGTTTGAAAATTAATTATGCACGCGTACGCGTCGCTATCCGTTGATAACCGGAATCTCTATGAATTTGCGCTTTTCCAGACGTTTACGCTTATCACTGTCGATTTATTTATTCGCGTAATCTACAAATCTCTGACAAAGATACTCAACACTTGATTAACACGATCGAGCGTTATCTCTATATATTCTCAGATTTTTTAATTAATTTTTTATTTTCAATTCAGCCTTTTTTCGATACATATGTAATAATTAGATATAGATAATATAAGCACGCATCCGTTTTGATCGCGCCGTTTAAATAATTCGCGAACACCATACTCGAAACAGGGTTAAAGCACTTACGAATACGAGAACAATTTGCGTTTAATAAACTCAATTATCTCGTTGCATGACACAGGTCAAGTTGCCGAGAGTAGAGGAATATCTGCGTCCGCCGCAGATCCTGTTACCTGTCTAAGTAATTAAGCAGTAGTTACGACAGCATATGTTTTAGCGAAATGCCGCAATATGCAGCAACCATGAATCAAATATATAGACAATTGGAACATGCTCGGAATGTAGAAGAATTTCGAAATCGTCGAAGAATTTCTATTTATGTTGTATTACACTTTACAGCAATATAGAGAATTGTTATTTTTCTCAAATTAATTAAAAAATTCTTATTATTAATTATCTCTCTTTCTACTTTATACTATATAAATTGATAGATAGACTTTATACTTTATACTATATAAATTGATAGATAGCTGAAATTATTTAGATACAATTTGATCTCTCGTCCCTGAGATTTCAAATCTTCATAATTTTGTGTGTGCAATATGTAAGAAATCGTTATATTAATATCACAGATTGAATAAAGCGTTTTAGGACATAATTGTAATCACACTTCTTGGTTACTCGCGGCGTGTAGTCTGTATTTCCGTTAACCGATGCAAGACGGATGCGCTACCCGATCGCTGAGTGTGACTTTATGCAGTAGAGCATTAAGGACAAACGTTTCGCTGTATGTTGCAGAGTACTTGATGTCAGGAAGTCCACGGAGTTATCCAGCGCGATCCCCAGGGGTAGCTTCCACGCCAACCGTGACCAGGTGAGTTAGTACGCTACCCGCGAATTTCGCAAATCTGTATACGCGAATATGCGACGTCTCTCATGCTACCTCCGAATATGACACATCCATATTCCAACCAACGTAACATAACGTAAATTCTCGCGAGGGCGCGAACGAATAAGCGGATTTTTGTCGCTAGGCCAGCAAATCCGCGTGAGCCTTATCGGTTTACCTGCTGGCTGGATTTTATGCGGTTGAATTAAGCTCCAGCAACTACGAAGAACCGATAGATCGTGATTGATGTATCTTGAAATTGTAAACACATTGAAATTGTTAACACATAGAATTTCGGAATTGTGTGTCGCGATAAATTATTAATGCTTTACAGATTTTGTCACTATTACGTTAGCTTCGGTTTTACGGTTTACGCGGTTAAAGGTAAATAAATAAATCTCAAAAATATAAAGACGAATGCAGAATTTATGGATAAATATTTGTCGCATTGTTAATGTCGAAATTGCTATTGCAATGAAAATACAAGAATGTCAGACAGGTTTGATGTTCAGTAACGATTTTTATCTGACTTAACCAAGCCGAAAGCTTTCTCAGTGGTCACGAAGGATGTCTTCGCGACAAAACTCGAGTGCGAAAAGTTTCGAGAATCTAAATCAATCGACCGGGAAGAGAAGAAAGCCGAGCAGTCGAGAGCGCGATAGGAAGCGCGATAAGTACAGGGAACTCTGCGACGAACCAGCCGATGGGAGGCAGTCAAGAGGGAGAGCAGGAGGTACAGAGCGTGAGAACGAGACATGTCTAAAGATGTTCCAATTCAAATGAGTTGAACTTTTAAAATATTTAGAATGTTGAACAGGCCCGGTCCCGGCATTTCCATTTTCGTTCCCCCGTCCTCCCTCTTTTCGCGCCAAGCGTGCCGGTCGATCGCCGTCAGTGACGCGCACGAAATTTCGAATTAGTTCGTTCTTTATTCTACCTCATTGCCATCCTTCAGCATTCCGTCTTCTTTCTTTTCTCAAGCAGCTAATGGCCCACTACGTGCCGCAATTCATATTTCATTGCTCGCATGCGGAATACTTTTGAGCATGACTCTCGCCATACTAATACAGTAAATATTCTTCACTACAGTTTCATTCTATATGGTTCTATTTTGTAAATCAATTTTATAATTATATACGATAAGTGTTCTTGTTTTTAATTGAATCGTTCGCAAAAAGAAATACAACACTTTAAAGTCATATCTATCGTTATCATGAAAAAAATAACCGCAATCTATCATATATGAAACTGATTGCTTAAGACAAGCACTTGCATCGTATAATTATGTGATACGGTTATACAGTGTCTGATATTGACGTTTTATGACATCGCTTGTAGCTTGAATTATCCAATTCACGTCGTATATTAGTATTAAGAGGTTCTCCCGCCGGAATTGCTAATGCGTTCCTTATCGCGCTTAATTTCCTAAATTCTCTCGAATTATGAATATCTGTACAGCTATGTGCACACAACTGTCTCGGATAATCTTATATATTATTAGTTATTTGCAATGATTGACATATGTGTGTATATATATATATATATATATATATATATATATATATATATATATATATATATTGTAGGATTCTTGTTTCACATTACACATTCATAGGTAGTCACGCGAGTTCGTCGATCTTTTCTTGAGGATCTTGAACTCCGTTCAGGGGTATCGATCTCATTCTATACTTATACGACAGCGTCTCTATTCTGAATTCTATCTACCTATCCTGTCAGCAAAGTATCAGAGTATAAGACATTATTACTGTCATGTAAAGCTCACTTGTTTGATAATTCTATCTCGGTATAGTCTAGATCTTCTACCGATATATCATCGCAATTTGTCTTAACAATCTGTCGACAGTGATCACATAACTATTTTAATCGCGAAGGATACGCAAGATTATCACAGAGAATTTGATAACAGAAAATCTAATTCAAAGAATATCGTTTTCGAACGATAATCGCACCGACCCTTAACGCTTTCTTGCAGTTTTTCTCTGCCAGTCGTATACCTTTTTTCTTCTCCTTGAGGAAACGCGTAGTCTCGGCAAAATGACGAGAGAAGGAAGGACCATCGGTGTCACCGGAAACAGCAGGTCAGCGAGACGGAAGGTACTCTGTTGCTGAGGCAACGCGGCTAAAAGAACACGCGCCTCCCTTGTCCGAGAGAACGAAGGAGAGTTTCCTATACCATTCCATCTTTCCTTTTGCTCATCCGTTACGCCTTCTCCAGCTTCCTTCTAAGACTACTAACGACCGAATCCGCCAAGACTGGTCACGATAACTTGGCCTGTATAAAAAAAAGTTACAAACTTTTCTCAATATATTACTAAACGATGGTACTTGCCATATATTTTAGAAAGCTTAAATAAATTTCGTTTATTTCGCTTATATTCTAATTAAATATTATATGTGTATACAATATATAATATTTAATTTTGCTTTATTTTTTTTTAATTGATTTTAAAATACGCGGTTAACATTTTTTATATGTATTTTAATATACAACTTTTTACTTTTTAGTAGAAAAATGTCTAAATTTTTAAATCAATTTAAGCCATTGTATCTTTTTTAAATGTTAGAATTATGTTTATAGTTTTCATTTATCTTTTATTGTGTCGAGATGATAAAGACGATTAAGACGATTAAGCGATTAATCGACAACGCGATAGAAAAATATTTATTGTAGTACACTGATATTAAGTTACTTATCTTTTTTCTCTTTTTATGATTCATTACAAGATATCAAAGGCTTGATATTGATTTATATACGTATAAAAAAAACAATAAATTTTTTACTTTTCTACCAACCAGAATAAACGGATATCTTTGTCGTATTTCGGATAGATACGCGAAAGAACAACCGCTTCTCTACGGTATTTATCGCTTATTAACTGCAACGATGTGGCTAAAAGAACACTCGCTACACTCGACCAACAATAAAGACTCTTTCTTTTCCCTCTTTTTACTTTTCCTTCGAATGTTCTACCTTATCTATTCTTACCGCTTTGCTATCTTTCCTATCGTTCTCTAACTAGCGAATCGATCGGATGACGGCCATTGTTCCTTGCGAAAAATTAGCGCCGTTCTTAAGAAAGTTTTGAAATCACATCGAATTTATTTTTCTGAAGCTCTCTATAATATTACGACTTCTATAAGAAAAATAAACTATCGCTATGTATTATCGCAGAAAAACATAACGGTAACTGTGCTTAGCAGTTATCTTTTCCGACGTTACTTAAAATAATTAAATTTTACGCGTGCGCGATTTTCTCTACTGTCAATATTAATCTTTTAAAAAGTATTAAATTTATAAAATACAAAAAATTCCATAATCTTTTTTGCAAAATAATATCTCTTTAAATAGAAAAACTTTTTAATTTTGAATGTGCGGTTGTGTATTATTTTTTGTTTATATAGAAATATTTGTTAATTATTAAAGTATTAATTTTTTAATTATTAAATAATAAAAAAAAACTTTTTTAATTATTTAATAATTTATAAAAAATATAACAAGTTTTGTAAAAAACATGTACAAGAGAAGGAACTAGTTTCATGCAGACTAATTGATATTAAAATATACAACAAAAGATATTAAATTGACATTGTAATTTTTTCTCAATGAACGCAAAAGCATATCGAACAAAAAAATATTTTTCGCATTTTTCTTCAAGTATCAAAAGCAAGTTTTATAGTGAGATGTCCAATGACGGTAGAATTATGGTGCACACCGTCGAGGGACCTTTATTAGTCAAAAGATATCGGAATACAATATCTTCCCTTTCAACTTTTGATCTTTTGTTCAACCAAATTTTTCGCGATGCCAATTTTCTTAGATCATTATATTTTACCAGCTATTTAATAATGACAATAATTCCGCAATTTTTCCGGAAATTTTACATAAACGACGAGAAACAAATAAAAAGAGTACATCTCAATCCAAATAAATTCCTGGTTAAAGCAGGTCGACGACCGAGCCTTTCGCCTAAGTGCGCTTCGTTTAACTCTGCATTACGTCCCTTAATTCTCCGGGTCGCCTCTGCACTGTGAAAAGTAAGTTGTTTACCATGCATCCTTTCCCTATGTACTCGAGCCGCCTGGTGCAGCTACGGTTACCGGGTATGCTTTTGTCTCTCCGCGGAGCGACGGCGGAACTATTTAAATTAATCAACATGGAAACCTTAATCTCGCCCGACGTCTTAATCCCAGCTTCAATTTGCGCGCGACTCGGGCCTCCCTTCCTCTTAAACTTTCTGCCCGCCCTACCGAACTGAGTCTCGTTCGGTGGTGTGCCTTTCACGGGACGAGAAGCCGGATTTAAAATGTTTTCTTGTTTGTAGAAATGTTTTCTATTCCCCGAAATATATTCTCTCATTACGGCTTCTGTTCGCCAAGACATAAAAAGTTTTTGCATGATTATTTTCGCGATGACCTTGTTAAATTATTAAACATAAATAGTGATATATTATTAATAAATCATATTAAATTTGTATATTTATATAATCATCATTTTTTTATAAATATATAATAATTTTTTTCCTCTGAACTTTTTAAATGTTCAACTTTTGAGAAAATCTTGAGAGTTTAACATTTCGAGCTACTTATGCTATTATACTATTATAGATAAAAAAGGAGGAAAAAAATAAGCAGTTTATACATGCAGAAGTATTGTTCAAGAGAATACAAAGGAGAAATAGATATTTGCTTCTCTTGATGCACTTTTGTAAGACTAGTTAGATCTAATGTTAATTATTATAATTAAGAGTATTAAGGATTATAACATTAGCGACAGAAATTATCATTTTTATAAAAAATTGTTCTAAAAAATGAATTTTCCTCGAATGGTACTGAAAAGATTGAATATACAGAATTGATTGAGTATGCAGTTTATTGTGCGTATGAGAAGTTGTCCCAGTATCCTGCTTATGTGTCTAAACAATTCAATATTTCAATTTTAAATTCAAAAACTATGGATTACATAT